TAGAGTTAGATATTGCCGCTGTCGTCACCCTTTTAACCTCAGGCCACCACGGTTCGTGACAGATCCAGCACCCGCTCATCTGTATCAAATCCACATTTCAGTCGGTCCGCTGCCGGATATCTCACATCTTCCGCAAGGGGAGCCGAGTCGGTGACTTCCTCGCTTGCAACGGTGCCTCCACTCTCCAGGGGCACATCTTTCAACTGGACGTCGCTTCTCTCCGCCTTCGTACTCTTGTGCGGATGGATCAGATTGGTTACCCATCGTTCATATTTGGGTAGTTGTTTAAGTTTTATGCTTTAGCCCACTCGTGCCGCAGACTATTCACCTAGACACCTGTCAATCCAGCATCAGATCTTTTCCTTCGTTTGTTTTCTTTTTCCTTTTCTTTTTCCTTTTCTTTATTTTGGCTTTAGTTGTTTTGTTCACTGTTTGAACTTGTAGATTTGTAGTTTTTCAGCTCATTTTGTCTGACTATATACAATTTGGAGGTCCATCCTTAACCCCCTACCTTTCCGGCATATTTTTTGTTATTAAAAAAAAAAAAAGAAAAAGCTATGTGGAATTGAAAATTTTGGTTTAATTTTGTAAGTCATTAGCCAATTTCTATCATCGCGGTGGAATTCTAGTTCAACTTAAGATTAAATGGACCAATAAACAGATCACATGCGAATCACATGCATGTTTTCGATAAAATTATGAATTTACAACGAGTCAAGGACATTTTAGTAACCTTTTCATAAACATATATGAACGCATATCAAAATAGCTATTTAAAAGGGGCGAATTTGTTGCCTTAACTAAACATAGGACGGACGAAAGTTGCAATTTATTCTGGCAGAATCTTAGCAAGGAAAAAAAAGTTTTTTGGTCCTTTATTTGTAGGCCATTTTAATTTGGTCTCGTAAATGGACTGTGTTTAGAAATAATCCCTAACTGAAAAAAAATTAGCTTTTTGGTCATCTGACCGCCTATATCAAGTCATTGTGACCGGCTGAGCTACGTGGAAATTTGCCCAAATTTTTTTTTTTTTTTTTTTGCTGAGTTGTAATGCCACGTGGTAATTTGGTCCCGTAAATGGACTGTTTTTAGAAATAGTCCCCTAACTAAAAAAAAATAGTTTTTTGGTCATCTGACCGCCTATATCAAGTCATTGTGACCAGCTGAGCTACGTGGAAATTTGCCCAATTTTTTTTTTTTTTTTGCTTTTTTTTTTTTTTTTGCTGAGTTGTAATGCCACGTGGCGCTTATGTGGAATAGTTGCAAAAAATATGCTAAGAAGGGGATTTGAACCCAGGACCAATGGGGAATAAAAGAAGCTCATGAACCACTTGAGCTAGCACCCATTATATTAATTATTTAGCTTTAATTATATATCTACCAACATAGTTTTTATCTAATATATATATATATATATATATATATATATATATATATATATGTATATATTAGATCCAATGAGTACACATATTTAAAGTGTGAATGTAAGACCCATTCCTAGCCACTAGATTGGTACATGATGTGTCGCCAAGATTTAACTCTTCATTTAAATAATAATTCTTTATTTTTATTACTTAATGCTTTATTTTTATTATTTTAGTTATTTAAATATTATTTTGACAATTGACCATTGACTTCGGCGTTGACCGTTGACTTCCGGCGTTGACCGTTGACTTCCGGCGTTGACTCCGTCGTTGACCGTTGACCCATATCCTACATTTTGTATGAAGTAAATATGCATACAGTACTATGCATTTAGTATGAACTAATTATGCATAAGAAATGAGTTATATATGTCATCCTTATGAACTAAACATGCTGCAATAATATCAACTATGTATGCAGTATTTATATACTAAATATGCACATTTTACTAACTAAATATGCATCAGGAATGAACTAAATATGCAACGAAAATATGCAATAAAATATACATTTTATACAATTAACTTAAATATAATAATTAATGATTTTTTATTATATAATTAATTTTAATTTTAAATTGATTAATAACACAAATAAATTTTTATGATTGGATCTCAAAATAAAATAGGTATGCACTGTTCATGAACTAAATATGCATTTTGTAAGAACTAAATACGTATCATGAATAAACTAAATATGCATCATAAATTAACTATATAAATATCGTTATATATTTAATTTAAATATAACAAGTATGCATTTTGTATTAACTAAACATGCATCATAAATTACCTAAATATTCACAATAAATTAACTAAATATGCATCATAAATTAACTGTATAAAATGTACATCTTATTGCATATTTTTTCGCTGCATATTTAGTTCATTCATGATGCATATTTAGTTCATAACAGATGCATATTTAGTTAATAACACAAATAATTTTTATTATATAATTAATTTTAATTTTAAATTGATTAATAACACAAATAAATTGTTATGATTGGATCTCAAATAAAATAGGTATGCACTGTTCATGAACTAAATATGTATTTCGTAAGAACTAAATATGTACCATGAATTAAGTAAATATGCATAATAAATTAATTATATAAATATTATTATATATTTAATTTAAATATAACAAATATGCATTTCGTATTAACTAAATATGCATCATAAATTACCTAAATATTCATAATAAATTAACTAAATACGCATCATAAATTACCTATATGAAATGCACATTTTATTGCATATTTTTCGCTGCATATTTAGTTCATTCATGATGCATATTTAGTTCATAACAGATGCATATTTTGTTCATAACAGATGCATACTTAGTTGATATTATTGGTGCATATTTAGTTCATAAGAACTGCATGTGAAATTCATATCTCATGCATATTTAGTTCATATTGAATGCATGGTACTGGATGTATATTTACTTCATACATATAATGCATACTAGGGGTCAACGGTCAACGCATGAGTCAACAGTCAACGCCGTAAGTCAACGGTCAACGTCGAAAGTCAACGATTTTTTGCCGGAAGTCAACGGTCAATGCCGGAAGTCAACAGTCAACGCCGGAGTCAACTAATAATTATTTTAAAATTTAATTAATATATATTTTAAAGAATGGACTCATTTTAAGGAGTAGACTCATTTTAAAGAGTGGACTCATTGGATCCTCCCCCTATATATATATATTATTCAATTTGTACTACTTTTAATAATAAAAAATTATGCATATTATTAAATACATTTAATTTTATTAATATATTTAATAAATATTTACTAATGAGTAAATATTATAATAAATTATTAAATATATATTAAATAATTAAATATATTAAATAATATAATATTATGTACTTTTAAAAATATTACATATTATAATAATATTTATGTATTAAAATAATAGATAATAAATAAATACTAAATATAGTAAATAATAAAAATTACAATAAATCTATAATTAAATAAAGCGTATAAATAAAATCATATAAAATATTTTTTTATGTATCAATTTTAATTGTTTTTAGTTCATAATTAATATATTATGTTATTAGTTTATTTAATATAGGTATTTTACTATATATTTATTTATTACATATTATAATAATATTTATGTATTAAAATAATAGATAATAAATAAATACTAAATATAGTAAATAATAAAAATTACAATAAATCTATAATTAAATAAAGCGTATAAATAAAACCATATAAAATATTTTTTATGTATCAATTTTAATTATTTTTAGTTCATAATTATTATATTATATTATTATTAGTTTATTTAATATAGGTATTTTACTATATATTTATTTATTTATTCATTATATTATTTAAAGATTTTTTGGTAAATATTATTACTTATTATATTATTTAGTATATTTATTTATTATATTATTTAATACATTTATTTATTATGTTATTTGATATGTGTATTTATTTAGTAATTATTTTTATTTCTTATATTGTGTAATATATTTATTTATTTGATCAATATTTATTTAATACACAACAAATAATTATATTATTTAATATATTATTTCATAATTTTATTATTTAGTAAATATTTTTTAATATAGATATAAATTTAATCATATTATTTACTATATTTATTTAATAAATATTATATTATTTAATTTACGTATTTATTTAGTAAATGATTATTTATTTATTATACTATTTCATATATTTATTTATTTGGTAAATATTATTATTTATTATATTATTTAATATATTTATTTATTTGGTAAATATTTATTTAATATTCAAATAAAATTTAATTAAGTACGCTAAATATTTATTTAGTAAATAGTTAAATACTATTTATTTATTAAATATTTAACTAATATATAGTTATTTAATATCAACATCCTTCAATATATTTATTTAATATATATAATATATATATATATATATATATTTAAAAATGATGAATAAAATTATAATATATTATTTATTATAATATCTAATATTTTTTTATTTAGTAAAATTATATTATATTTAATATATAAAGAAGTTTATAAAAATCTAAAAGTAGTACAAATTGAATAATATATAAGTATTTGATAAAAACTATGTTGGTAGATATATAATTAAAGCTAAATAATTAACATAATGGGTACTAGCTCAAGTGGTTCATGAGCTCCTTTTATGCCCCCATTGGACCTTTTATGCCCCCATTGGACCTGGGTTCGAATTTCCTTCTTAGCACATTTTTGCAAATATTCCACATAAGCGCCACGTGGTATTACAACTCAGCAAAAAAAAATGATAAAAAATTGGGCAAATTTCCACGTAGCTTAGGCGGTCACAATGACTTAATATAGACGGTCAGAAGACCAAAAAACTATTTTTTTTTTTTATTTAGGGGACTATTTCGAAAAACAGTCCATTTACGAGACCAAATTAAAAACAGCATGCAGATAAAGGACAAAAAAACCTTTTTTTCCATCTTAGCAAGGAAAAACGAAAGGAAAGAGGAAAATTAAAATTTTATAATATTTTCCTCGTGGAATAAAAGTACAGATGCGTAGTTTTTAAACACATTTCACACATCATATTTCATCCACAAAACATAATTTCCTCTTACTTCCCATCCATTTTTTGGGTCTCATATTTGCAGCAGTAATCAGTTTATAATCAGTATGAGACAATTGGCTTAGGTTACCAAACCGTTCCTCGTAAAACTGCCAAATTTCTGACCTGTCAAAAAGCATAATTTAATGAAGGAAACCGTAACCCTAGTTGAGAAGAGAAAATATCAGTTGAAAAAAAGGTAAAAAAAAAATAAAAAATAAAAAGGAAAAGGAAAGAATACAGACAACAGCCTTGTTTGGTAATCAGTTGTTAGCTGTTAGCTGATTGTATTAGCTGTTTTGACCAGCTGATTGCATTAGTTGTTTTGACTAGCTGATCGTGTTAGCGGTTTTGTAAAAAAGTGTTTGATAAAATTAGCTTTTCTAATTAGCTGTTAACATGTAAAATTACTTATAAGGACATCAACATACTTTATCATTCTAATTTATATTGAACTTATAATTATTTAGGAAATAATAATATTTAATATTTTAAATATTTGTTGGAATGATTTAAATATGATTAAAATATATATAGTAATAAAATGAAAATATTTTATAATCGAGTAAATAAATTCATGTCATATAAACAAAGCCAACAACAAGTCATATTAATGGAAAATATAAATGTGGCTCAATCGCAATATTCAATATTATAATTAAAAAAAATAAAAGAAAATGAAAAATATGCTCTTAGAGCGACGTTTGGATGCCATCAAACTTGAAGCTATATCATTAAGAAAAAAAAAATGCTCTAAAAATGATTTAAGTTAATTCTTATTATATATATAGATAACAATTTATTATAAATATATTTATATTTTTAAAAAAGTATGTCTGGGCTAAACCTTCAGAATTATGTCACACTTAATGCTAAGAATTCAATTGGTGCCAGCCAGATTATATATTATAATATTATGTTAATCTGATGATGAATCAATATTATTTTCACAACTGATTATCATCAACATCATCATCATCAACATACCCAGTATATTCCCAACAAGTTGGGGTCTGGGGGGTCCGTTGTACGCAGACTTTACCCTTGTAATTATACAAGAAGGTTGTTTCCATAGCGACCCAAGGTGCGTTGCGTCGTTTGATATATTTTTTTCTAGAAACTTCACTAATAGAAGAAGCACTAGAATTTAATTATGCCATTCACGCAATCAAATAATACATAAAATTAAGATGGGCCAGTCCTACACGGCTACTACATATAGAGATTTTGTTTTGGAATAGGAAAGAAAAATGGAAGGGGCAACCAGAGTGGGCAATTGAGACTTTTTGCTTTTTTTATTTTGATCAGCTGAACCCAAACGCTAAGAATTTGCAGCGTTTTTAAGTTTAGCGGATGGAACAAAAAAGCTATGTTTAAAAGTTGTTTACCAAACGATTTATTTTAGCGGATATCTAAAGTCAAACAGCTAAAAATGTGCAAAAGCTGTTTTAGGAGCAAAACGCTAAAAAACAAACGGGGCAAACATGAATATAATGGCATACCAGAAAGCTAGGAACTGAAAGGGTGCATATTTTCCATAGATATTTTCTATATCACTCTGAACTGTCTCAATCGTGGACCTTTTTGCATGCACCTGCATAACAAGATATAGAAAAACTTCAGTTATACACCCTTTAAATAATGCAAATCTGTATAACTCGAAAAGTATCTCCAGTTATGGAAATTGAACTGTATACAGTATACTCAATTAAGCTAAATCTCAAGACTTCACTAGTGAGGTTCAGTTTATGACGACAGTCATCAATGAGCAACAAGGAAAATGCAATTGACCTGTTTCAAATGCCTAATTGTTTCTGAATCCAAAGGCACGACATGGTAATAGCCCACACACATTAGTACATTTGCGCACGTGTAAGGCCCAAACCCCTCCATCACTCTCAGCTTCTCAATCAAATTTTCATAATTGGATATGCTGACTGTACCACATGCGACACATTCGAGGTCGCTCAATTGAAATCTGCCTTGAACGATTGCCCGAGAAAAATTTACCACACGACGTGCCCTATAACCGAGACCGCAGCGCCGGGCCAAGAAGTCCTCATCAAGTGTCGCCAATTCTTTCGGGCTCGGGAAATTACCAATCGTGGGGCCCAAATGACCTTCTGTCCATTCTGAAGGCTGAGACTTAGGAACATGTCCTAACATGAGAGTCGGACTTAACTTTTCTGTTTCGTCAGAAAAATTCAATATTTCCGAATTACTGATTTTCGTCTCGACGTCTTCTACTGATGTTATATCCGCTGTGTACTTTTTTGCTAATTTATTTGATCGTTTAAGAGCTCCAGAATTCCTTTTTGATTCTTTTCCTGCAGGTGTATTGGGAGCAAATTTGCGAACTTCGGTTTTTGATGGATGTTTTAGTTCTGCTTGAAGCTCACAAAGTGCTTGAGCCATGCCCAAAGTCCTTGACCACCTGGAAAGTAAAAAAGATCAGATAAACATTGTTATTGTTGAATAAAAGGGGTCTTGTAGCTACTCAATTTTCAAGGTAAGAAAGTGAAACAATTCGTTAGATGCATGATTCGCAGATTGAAGAAGAAGCTCAAAAACATGCAACGAAGATGAAACTAAAAGAATTTCAAACATGACAAATCATGATACAGGGATTCAGGCTGCAATTGAAAGTGAAAAGGTTCCATTTTCATTACACTAAGAAAAACTTTGCTCGTTGCGAGTGGTTGCAAATATTTCCAAGACAATACTCTATTCAATTTTCATTTACTTCTCATCAATGTCATATACAAAATTGTGAAAAGAACATTGCATAAAGGTTCATCAAAGAAGTATGCACGGCATAGCATAAAAGGTGACAGTCACTCACTGGCAATTGCACAAGAGAATGCACTTAATAATATCCTCAAACAATGTGGGTGATCGAAACATCCTCCCGAACCCCCTTTCTTTTGCTTCTTGGTGCACTTTATGGAACTCAACGATCCTCCTGTTTTCTTCCTCTGATAATCGTAGCATTCTCCTCACTTGAGACTGAAAATTCAATGTCTGAGCGTCGGTCATGCAGAGCAAGAGACCATATAAAGAGAAAACAAATGCACTACTGATGATGTGATTCAAGCAAAGTCTCATATAAAACAAACATACAGTTAGTTAAACTTGTAAAAGGTACAACAGAGCAAGGAGGCACACCAAAGCCACATAAAAAAGGCTCTTGCTGCCAAACAGAGCATAACATTCAGCTCCTTAATTCAGTGTTAAAATTGAATCAGAAATCAATTAAGCATCCAACAACAATACACTAAAGTGGCATTCAATATAAGAAGATAAAGTCCCACCACAAGTAATTTTCATAAGGAATTAAAACAGCTAAATAGTACAAAATCGAAGAAAAAAGTATTTTTCATAAGGAATTAAAACAGCTAAATAGTACAAAATCGAAGAAAAATGAAAGGAAGCCAGACCAGCACGAATTGCTGCTGCTGGGTGGTTAGATCGCGCGTGCCGATGACACGGACGTGAAGCATGTGAGCGGAGTCGGGAGGGTGGGAGACGTGAACCATGCGCGAGGTTTCTTCGCCGTCAGCATCAAGGCGGAGGGGCCGCCGGAAGGTTTTAGAGTGTGGGTCCCATTGGTTGGGCGACATCATGAAAAGGCCGTGGCTGCAGACGGCCTTTTCCAGATTGAAATCCGGCGCGGCGTCGCCCAACGGAAGTTCCACCAGAGCGGCGCAATCATCGGAGGCGGCAATTTTCACTTCTCCGTTCATTTCAGGGCACGGAGTAGATACTCAATAATTCGCAATTGAAGGGGCGGAATGGCGATGAAAAGGTTTTATGGGGACTTGTGCACCGGCACAAACCCGTAAATATTAAGTGTGCCAGTTAGAGAGCACCCACAATGTTTAGAGCACCTACAATGGTTTTGGTCTCTTAGAAAAAATTCACATGTCATGTACGAAATAGACATAATTTATAAAAAAATATTTCACAATACAATTAAAAGTGGACCTAGTCCAACTTATGTGGCACTAAAAAAAGAGACCAAGTCCACACTTGGGTCAATTTTGGACCCAAAGTGCAAACTCACCTAGTCATTAATTGTTCACAATTTTCCTTTTTTTTAATCGGCAAAACATATTTTTTTGTATGCATTTATTATTACTATATTTTTATTGGTTGTTTAGTATTTTAGACCTAGTACTTTTTTGTTTTGCATTGGATAGATTTTGGATTTTTTAGCTTGGGTTTGTCCATATCATTATGGATTTAAGTCTATTTATTTGTCACATATGCAAAAAGAGACTCAAAGCATTGTGGGTGCTCTTAGTTGAAAAGTACTTTCTGCGCGTGAACTAGATAAGAGGAAAGGTAAAAGGCTGTAAAAAATTACAGGTAAAAGAAACTTAGAGCACCCACAATACTTTGGGTCTCTTACAAAAATATCATATGTAATGTAGGAATTAGGCTTAGTATTAAAAAATACTTTCCAATGCAAATAAAAGAAGACTAGGTCTAACTTATGTGTCAATCAAAAAATGAGACCAAATCTACACTTAAGTCTATTTTGGACCCAAGTACAAACCCGGCCAATCAACATTTATTCCTAATTTAATTTTCCTCTTAATATAGAAAATATTTTAGAGCATTTTTATTGGTTGAGAAATATTCTAGACTCAGTATTTTGTTTTTGCACAGGATAACTTTTGGATTTTATTTACTTGAGTTTGTCCATGCTATTTAGGACTTAAGTCCATTTATATACCACGTATGTAAAACTACACCCAAAACATTGTGGATGCTCTTAGGCACGATATTCAAAGCGAAAAAATATGTTGATTTTGTACAAGATATATATATATATATATATATATATTTATTTTATAAGTAATATGTTTCTTAACATGATGAATATATTTTTTTTTTTTTT